TATTCTGTTTTAGGAACCAGTCAGTTTCTCTTGGCAGTTCTTCCACAAGGTTTCATATACAATAACTTACCAAAGCTACAGTGAGTGTAGTATGCAATGCATAAGTCTTCCCAATACACGCCATACGCTGCACCCTCTCTAACTTCCTCCTCTCCCTATTCTGAAGCACCACTGGCCACCAGACCAATGGCCCATACGTCATAATAGGTCTAATCACACACTCATACAACCAGTGGACCAGACTCCAAATACCTACCAGCCGTCCCCTTGCAGGCAAACAACGAATTCGTGGCCTTCCTTACATTATTCTCTATGTTTTCCCTCCACACCAGCTTACTATCCATAATCACGCCCAGGTATCACATTCAACCCTCCAAACCCAGTTCGACCCCCGCCATCCTAGACAGAGCAAACGCGGGCACCTTCCTTTTCCTCGTGAACAATACTGGCTCCGTTTTTACGGAGTTCACAGAAAGACCGCGTCTCCGCGCCCAGCCATCCAGTTTATCAAAACCCCCTACATTATTGCACTTAGTACTTCCGGATATTTATCCGAGACCAGGATTTCCACATCATCCACATAGGCAGTAACTCTACACCCACTATCCCCCATGAGCCCAAGAAAACCTTCCTAACCAGGACTCACACATATGGCGACAGGACCCCCACCCCTAAGGAGTGCCTCTCACCGACAACATCCTCACCTTACTTGAGTCCTACTCGGCCAGTACCGCAGAAGGCATAATCAGATGCATTTGCCCTATGCATCTGATTATGCCTTCCTCTAATAATCAAGAGCCCCTACGATAGTCTCAGGCTTCATATTATTGAAAGCTCCCTCAACATCCAAGAAAGCGGCCGATGTATACTCCTTGTACTAAAGACACTCTCTTACAGACACTTAAAGCCACGGAAGGCTATAAATACAGCAAATGTACGAAGGTTTGAAATAGATTCAGGCGAGAATTATAAGTGTTTCTATTGAAAATTCAAAAAACATTTAAAACATGTATTTCCATAATCTGCAAGAGAAGGTGATAAACAGTTACAATGAAATTTTCTTGTTCGTAAAAAAACAAAGGCAAAATCTGCCTCTAATGTATCCACAGAACAATGGACACGTTTCAAATAGAATTCAATGAGGATGATTTTTAGATAACGTTGTTAAGTGATGCCTCAACTAAAATATTATCCAGAAAATACTTTATCAAAATTTACAAATGCATTACTTAAACATTTGAAATTAGAGAAATAAGTGAAAAGTAGGTATATATGAAATTTTATGAAATATTTTATTTTACATATATTTGGGGAATCTTACACAAAAGCTGCTGTAGTATTTATTGGAGCAACAGAAAAAAATTTATTGATATAAGAAAAACTTATGTTCCTTACAATCGAAGTTAACTACTATGCGATTGGAAAACATTTTTATTACTTACGCTTTTTCAGAATATTACTGCATATCAAGATTATAGAAGAGATACACAAAAAAAGAAGTAGAGAAACAATTAATATAGGATATTTACAATTTATTTTCAAATAATGTAAAAAGTGTTTTCGATAATAAGTTTGACATAAATACCACAAATACAGAACACAATAAAATGTGCATTGAAAGGCCTGTGAATGAAACAAGGATACCTGCTGGCACTGGCTATACAGTAAAATTTTTATTGAAATCATTCTTTTTACAATAACAATAATTTGACAAAAAAAACTGGTCAAATTATTGTTATTGTAAAAAGTCCAAAGTTATTGTAGCATATCAAATTATAGTAAAAATGTAAATAATCTTTCCGGAAACTAAAAGTATGAATACAATTTAAATTTCTCCACAAACAACATTCCGACCCACATTGTGTTACACCTCATAAGGTATAAATAAGTTGACAAGCTTATGTTATTTGTTCTTATATGATGAACCGTTTGTTTTTACAAGTATTATGTAATACAAATTGGTAGGATTATTGATGATATTACAGTTTTAGTGCATTAAAATGTACAATATCAAATAGGTCAAGGGCTCGCACGTTTCTTCGGAGGATTGTTTAAATTTAGTAAAAAAGGAGTCTTTGCGCACCAGTATCGATATGTTATCTGATATTATTTTTAGAATAAATCAAAAGAAGGATTGCAAGATAGATTTAATGAAGCGTTAAAAGTATAAACAAACAAACTTAGTGAAATCTGTGTAAGTATTATTAGAAAACGAAAAATTATAAAAAGAAGTCACTGAACTACATTAACTCATTCAAATCAAAGGAAACTCAATGCTAAGAGTAAGCAGAGAAAAATGCAAACTCGAGATATATTTCATTAAAACATAAAATGAACGAATCTGAATTAGATTTATGAAATTAGAATTAGATTTATTTACAAGCCGACCAATAAAATGCAGTTTAAATCTGAAGAGATTTCATACAATCCTATACTTATATAATTCATACAGGGCACGGAGATTCATACGGTGATTTATTTTCAACATATCTGAAACTAAATGTTCAAACTTTAAAAAAGGTGGAACTCCGTGGTATGATGATAAGAGTGCAGATGGGAAAACCCTTAAACAACCCAGTGTAGCTAATAATAATCTATTACATTAATTAATCAAGCAGTGTAATGTACAACTTAATAACAAAGTCGATATTAAAATTCTATTAACATTAGAAAAACCACATTATCTCTTATATGCGGGTAACTCGGATGAATCGCAAGTAAAAGTTATGGAAGCCAATTTATTTATAGGTAAATAATAAATTTTAGCGTAATGCTAGTCCATAATGCAGTTTTGGAAAAACCAAATCCTAAATTCCATTATCAGAGAGAGGAATTTAAGAATTTCAAATTTCCAAACAACAGTTTATCTATTTTACTAGACAATGTTTTCATTGATCAACTACCAAACACAATTAATATTTTGCATGACTGAAAATGCAGGATATTCGGGAAAGCGATCAAAATGTCCATACAATTTTAAGCATTTTGATATTGCACAATTCATGCTTTATGTGAATGGTTTGAAAGTACCAAACGCAGCAACAGAGAGAAGTTTTCTAACGATAGTAAATGCAGCACAAGAGTTTATCATACATTATTCTCTGGAACAGGAATTTATCATAACGACAAAAGTCATAGAAGTGTATGTTTACAAATAGTTTTTTTTAATTAGCTCTTGATTTACTCCCCACGCATCGGGTAATGAAGTATGTCAAGGATTACTTTCCATCTTGCATCAATTTTGCATCAATTCGTACAAGGAACTGTACGAATTGATGCAAAATTATCAAAACCAACTTCAACAATACTAATTGGTCTAGTTTATGAATAATTTCATGCGAACGTATAAAAAGATAAAAATCGATATGTCTACACAAATCTAAAAATATCCTAAGACTTACGTATTATGAAGTAATAAAATATTTAATTTGCATAGCAAAGATATTCAAACAAGCTTATAGATACTCTTCAATTAAAAATGTATTAGCACGCAATCTGCAGACTAAAACATTTTTAAAGGAGTTTTCCCTATATATAAACTTCCTAAAAATATTCAAAAACCCGGATGTATAGCAAAAAATACAGATGCGCACACCAAACCAGATAAACATTGGGCATATATTTTTATACCCGCAAATGATTTATCAAATGGTCCAAAAGAACTTGAATGTTTTCTAAGGAGAATTTTAAAGAATTCATATAATGCCTGGAATAACAAAAGATTAAAATATGACTTTTTAGATTAAAATATGACTTTAGTTTATGAGCATTATTGCCTCGGGTGTTTATGATACAAATATATAGGTCATAACATGTCAAAATTTTGAAAAAACAAACAAAGAACTACATGCAAATATGCAAGAAACCGATTTTACAACAATGTGGAAGCTTGAAAAATAATTGGCAGATAGTTTAAGTGATAAAACTTCTTGTTGCTTGGTTTGAAGTTAATTATTAATTTAGCTATTAAACATCTGACCTATTGATACAAAATTTATACTACTAAATTCATCATTCAAATACATCATTCTTAATTTAAAACTCAATAAGATCGGACGTGTTTTGTTCTTTATAACAAAAAATACATAATTAAAAATTTTTTTTTTAGTAAAAATTTTTTATTTCTTGTTTCATTGTCACATTGTTTAACTAAAATTACCTTGGGACGTATTTACGTATTATATTTTATTTGCTGCCATTAACATTTCTTCAGTAATTTACATTTCGTTGTACCTACAATCATGAGTAACAAATGCAACATCACTTCTTGCACCGTTTATGACAACAAATCGAAAATGGTGAAGTGCAGAGCTTTTTGCGGGAGACAAGTCCATGGAGTGTGCATCGGGGCTGATAGGGTTTGGTACCATCCCTCCATGGATCAATTTTTCATATGTAAGGACTGCCAGGACGTTGAAGTACAATTAAGAACGCTTCATGACAGATTGCTCGCCGCCATCTCAAGCTAGACGACAACAAAAGAGGTCTAGCTCAAAAGTCACTTAGTGTAATAGACGCTAACTCCGCTAACTTCGTCTAGATGGCTAAGTCATTTGATAATGTTAACAGCTTGTTATCAAGCCATGCAAATGCCTCTATTGAAAAACTGAGTGAGGTGAAAGAAAGCATTCTTCGCGTGGTTAGAGACAAGCTAAGCAATCTTAAAGATGTACTTGCGATTGCAGTTGAAGAGAAGGTGAAAAATGTTAATTCCCAATCAACTGAGGTTCTAAAACAATCAATAAAAGACCTCCATGATGATAACGTAGTTCAAGCGAAGAGGGTGGACTCGCTATATGTGTATTTCAATGAGTCCCCTCTAAAAGCAATCCAAGATTTACAAGAACAACTGGATAGCCTAAAGGAGTTGATGAGCGACTATAATAAAAGAAATGATGCCCAAGTTCCGACAATGAATACATTGAGTTTATTTGACGAGATTGCTAGTGTAAATCATGCCATTGTTACATTATAACCTAAACAAAAAGCATCCACTCCGAATGTGTCCACTACAACCGATACAGTGTTCAGACTTGGTACAAAGTGGTATACACAGGATTGGGATTTTCATATCAATAAAATTAAGAACAATCATGACTCGTCGAGCAAATCACGGCACCAGAAATAATCGAGACTTTGGGCCAAGTGGAGTAGACGGTTGAAAGGGAGAACGCTCTGTGAAGATCAGCTGGTGAGCAATGATATAAGTAGCTATAAGAATAATAATAATAATAAGAATAATAATGATAATATTAATAATAATAATAAGAATAATAATTATAATAATAATAATAATAATAATAATAATATTAATAATAGTAATAACAATAATAATAACAATATTATTAATAACAACAATAATAACAGTAATAATGATAATGATAAGAATAATATAACTAATGTTAAGAAAAATAATGCTAACCATAACAGCTCTAATAAATTGAATCATAAAAAAAATAGAAATCATAAGGTTAGGAATTCAAAAAGCAAAGTCAGTAGTTACAATAAATGAACCGGTAAAAACAGTACTAATAATATTAGCAAAAAAGACAACAGAAATGCCAATAACACCCGAAGCCATAATATTAATAATAAAAATAGTAACAATATTCACAATAAAAATAATAATAGTAACAACAACAAAAACAACAACAATAACAACAAAAACAACAACAATAACAACAAAAACAACAACAAAAACAACAACAACAAAAACAATAAGTATCATAATAATAACGGTATTAATAGTAATAATAATAATAACAATAATAGTATCAATAACAATAATCACAACAATAATAATGATAATAATAGCAATAATAATGATAATAGTAATAATATTAATAGTAATGATAATAATAATAACATTAATAACAATAACAATAATATTTGCAATGACAATAACAGTAATAATATTAATAATGATGTTGATATTAATCACAATAATGATAATAACAATAATGTTAGTGTGAGTATCAATAATATAAATGATACGAATACCAATAACAACAATGATAATAACAATAATATAAATAAAAATAATAATCATAATAATATCAATAATAATAGTAATTATATTAATAGCGATCGTAATAAGAATAATGATAGTAATAATATTAATAGTGATAATGTTATTAAAAATAGTAAGAATAACTATCCTAATTTTGTTCATGGGGGTGTTTTCACGGGTTCTTCTTCTGTATTAGCTAGTGGACAGGCATCTGGCATTTCTAGTTACCCAGCTATTCCTGTAAAATCGTTTTCGGCGCCTGTAACTCAAAGTATTGCCAACCCGCTTCTTCCTCCTATAGAGCGTATGACAAAAAAAAAACGGCTGAAGAGGGCGACAGCGTTTACGTATTATCGCGATTTAGAGATCGAGCCGTGTATGACAATGTGAGACTTTTCCTTGCTTATTTACATGATGCCTCTGACAATGTTCATCATGAAGGTAAAACTAGGATAAGTTTGAAAGTTTTTATTCAGAGTGAGGGTCTTCCTACTGAATATGCACATTTATTTAAATTACTTAAAAAATTTCACGAGACTCTAGATGTATCATCTCTTCAAGTTGACAAAGACTTAGAAACATACAGGAATCATATGAAAAGTAGATGGGTTGAATACATACAACGAATGAGAGATGCAAATTATAGATTTTTTCGTTCCTCCGACTCGACGTAATAACTCTAACCTAATCCATCTGACTGATTCTGGTAATAGTTCAACAAGGTCATTAAAACAGCTTTCGTTATATTACCAGAATGTGAGGGGCCTTAGGACTAAAACGAACGAAATCCATAAAAACTCTTTATTGCTTGACTTTGATGTTTACTTATTGTCTGAAACATGGTTGCATAATTCTATTGACTCATTAGAGTTGTTTGATCACTCTTATGTGGTCTTTAGGAAAGATAGACTTCATACAGTTTCTGACAATGTAAACATACCCAAGGGTGGAGGAGTTCTTTTAGCTTTGAAAAATATCTTTAACGCGTCTGAATTTAATTTATCTCAATTCCCATCTTTGGAAGTAGTTGCAATTAAAATTCGTTTTGCCAAAAAGTCCTTGTTTTTTATTTGTTGTTATATTCCTCCTAACTCTTCGTGTGAAACTTATCACAATTTAGTGGAGGCTGTTGATTACATTTCGTCTCTGGCTAATGCAGAGGATGACTTAATTATCTGTGGGGATTTTAATTTACCTCATATTTCTTGGAAATCGGTCGATGAGGAAAATTACATGACGCCAGCTTATATATCTTCTAATGCTGAAGCAACACTTATTGACGGTTTTAATTCTTATGATTTACAACAAATTTCCAACACTTTTAATTCTAGTGGTAGAATGCTTGACCTTATCTTTACTTCTGATTGGGTTAATGCCTTTTACTCTCCTATTTTCACGCCTTTAACTAAAATTGACAACTATCACCCTCCGATAGGATTTAGCTATAACTATGATAGTCCTATAAACTCTCGGCCTAATATATCATTTGGATATAATTTTGCTAGAGTTGATTTTGTAGGTCTAAAAAATTATTTCTTTACGGTGGATTTGGAGACATTACTTTGTAAAGTTCCTATTGACGAAGCAGTAAAGAAATTTTATGATGTCGTTTTACATGGTTATGACATGTATGTTCCTAAAACGCGTAATAAGAGTATTGATTCAAGTCCGGTTTGGTTCTCAATTGAGTTGAAAAAATTGACAAATAAAAAGAATAAGGCGTGGAGAAAATATGTTAAGACTCAGAGCTCTGAATCTTATTCTACTTTCATAAATTTATTTTATTCGTTTAAACGTATGTGTGAAGTGAGCTATAGTAATTATTTGTCAGGCTGCTCTTTGGAATTAAAGCAAAATCCCAAATCTTTCTGGAAGTTTGTTAATTCTAAAAGGAAATCTGATCAATTTCCAAACTTTATGACTTATGGTAATCAAACTACAAATGATCCACAAATAATTTCAGATTTATTTGAAAAATTTTTCTCAAGCGCTTATTCGAATAATATTTTTAACATAAATCCGCAAAATTTTGACTACTTTTCCAACTATATTGGTCGACCCCTCCCTGAAATAGATCTATCGTCAACTAAGGTTTGTTCTTATTTGGAAGCTTTAAACAATGATTGCTTTCCGGGCCCTGATAATATTCCTGAGATTGTCTTAAAACAATGTTCTCGTGTCTTATCAAAGCCAATTTCAACTTTATTTAATAGATCTATTTCTGAAGGTACTTTTCCTAGTTGGTGGAAAACCTCTTTCATACGACCGGTGCATAAAAAGGGAGAAAAAAAGAACATTGAAAATTATCGTCCGATAGCTAAGCTTTCTAGCATCCCTAAAGTATTTGAATTAATGGTTTATGACGTAATCTACAATTATTGCTCAGAATTGGTAGTGCCAAATCAACATGGGTTTTTAAAAATGAAATCTACAGTTACTAATCTTGTTGAATGTAGTTCTAAATTTTTAAATACGATGGAGGCTGGATCCCAAACGGATGTAATTTATACTGATCTGAGCAAGGCTTTTGATTTACTACCACATAATGTAGTACTTTTTAAGCTAGAAAAGTATGGTTTTCCTCCTTTTTTCATTAAATGGATTGGTTCTTATTTGTGTAGTAGGAAATATGGAGTTATTTTTCGTTCATGTACCTCCAATTACTTTGTTGCAAATTCGGGTGTACCTCAGGGTAGTCATTTGGGGCCTCTTCTTTTCACTATTAGTATTAATGATGTAACGCGCGTAATAAAACACAGTGATTTAAGTATTTATGCTGATGATATGAAAATTTACAGAAGAATAGACTCCGCTACTGATACATTGCCCGTACAGCGGGACCTGGATTCTTTGCTAATTGGTGCAACTTTAACAATCTTTCCCTTAACGTCTCTAAGTGCTCCGCAGTTAGTTACACTCGTCGTTCCTTAACTATAACTTCCAACTATGTCTTGAATGAAGTTAATCTTAACAGGGTTAGTTCTATTAAAGATTTGGGGGTTGTATTTGACGAAAAGTTGACGTTTAGACAGCACTATAACGCCGTGATTAGTAAAGCTAATTCAGTCTTAGGTTTCGTTAAGCGTTATACAAAGGAGTTTAATGATCCCTACGTTATAAAAACTTTGTTTGTGACTTATATTAACTAAATATAATGTTTACAAATACATGTGCGTTAATATTAAGTTATTACAAATTAAAAGGTTTAGCAATTTTGGGAATATAGCAATTGTTCTAGTTCGTCAATGATTAGTATAACTGAAATAGAAGCAGCGACAAGAGAGTGCATTCTGAATACTAACATTCTTAAAATGGATATTTGGTACAATGGACGAAGACGATAAAATTGAAATTGAAGAACATATGAAAAACTCTGAACAAAACACCTATAATTTAATAACAAATTATAATAACCAAATAAAAATTAACGACAACATTCAGAGCAATCTTAATATTTTACAGAAAACTGTAAACAAAAATCACATATTAATTGACAAACTTTTAAATGACGTTTCAATGGAAAATAAAAATATAACCAAACAATTGCAATACTTGCAGATACTTACCAATATTAACCTTTTAAACGACGAAATTGAAAAAATCCAAGAAAACGTGATCTTCTCCAAACACCAAATAATAAGTAGATCAATCTTAGCACCAGAAGAAATAGATCTTTATAATATCGACGTTTTTAAAATTCAGGAACTCAAGAGTTCCTTAGCAACAACAAATGATAATAAATTAGTATTTGTTTTGGCAATACCAGTTTTAAGCACCGAAAAGGCTATTAAATACAAAATGTTTGGATTACCAAATACTAACTTTGAACTAGTTGATATTCCAAGTTCTGATATTATATCTTTCAAAAATAAAACATATTATCTTACCCAGGAGAGATATATAAAAAAATTGCAATTAACTTCAAATTGTATTTCAAACCTTTTTATAATGCCATATTATGATAATATTGTTCTAAAACTACTAAAAAAAGTTACAAGATAGAAGAAATAAATAAAGGTATGATTTTAATAATAAATGCTCAAAACCATACTTTAAAGAGCGATTGTAATGATATAACATATTTACTAAATAAAAATTATATAATTTACTTTAACAATTGTACTATTGAAATAAATAATATTAAATTTTCAAACAAAAATAAAGAGTTTAAGTATAATATCGTTATTCCGAATTATACCATAATTAAAAATATGGAAATAATAAAGAAATTTATGAAATTAAAAATAAAAGAAATTTTAATGAAAATTTAACATATTTTAATACAATTTTTGTAATAATAATGCTTTTTATTTTAATCATTTTAAGTTATATGTTAATTAAAGCAAGAAAAGAAAAACCTTTAAAGAATATAAATAAAAGTGATCCTCAATGTTTTGTCCAGGAGAACAAAAATCTTAAGGGTGGGAGAGTTATATATCCGACCAAGGACATTTTATCTAGACTAATAGAACTAAACTCTATTAGTCCTAAAAGTAATAAAATATAAAATTTATTATATGATTCTTAAAATTTCAACTTAAACAATTTTATGACTTATTTAAATTCAAACATAAGAATCATAATTTCTGATTTCTTCTTTTTTATTATTCTTATTATTATTTCTTATTAACAATTAAAATATAAAAAACCAAATTTCAACACATTTATTTTTCAAGTTCATTAACTGAAATATTAAATTACATTAAAACGCAAACATGAAATTATTTTTTTTTCGTTCAATAAAATTGAAGGATCATATTACAAAACGGCAAAATAAAAGTTTGTTTCACAATTTCCTTTTCAAGTGCAACAAACAAAATTTATTGCATTTGAAAAGAAGAATATTACGTAAATTATATTTTTACCGACCGTATTGTGTAAACAATAGGTAGGTTATGTGATGGCAACAAATTTTGGATATCGAGTTTTCGGTAGGAACGTACTTCTCCATAGTAGGTAAGTGTAAATAAACTATTTTTAGCAACCTGTCGGTCTGTCGGTCTGTCGGTCTGTCCGTCCGTCGGTCTGTGTGTGTACGCGTGTATCTCAAGTTCGGCTAAACCGATTTTGATGAAATTTTATATGTAAGTTTGTTTCCACCATGGCACGGATCGATCAACTTTTGGTATATATCAGGCCTCGGGAACTGTACTTTTTAGCGGCCTTGTTTTACATTTTTGAACATTTTGAAGAAAATAATCAACCGATTTCATTGAAATTTAATATATGAATTCCTCATATTAAAGCAATGAACATATAACTCTTTTGGAAAGATCAGGGCTCGAGAACTGATTTGCGGGCCGATTTTAAATTTTCCACCATATCCACAGAAAAAATTGATGGAATTTCTTGAAATTTGATATTTGAGTTCTGGTTGTTACCGAAACTAACTGTCAGGGAATTCGGCTAGCACAAAGCGAAACTCTACTAAAAGCCAAATTTACATTTTTCTAAGTATGTTAACTATAAGCTTACTAATGTCCTAAAAATTTGAAGAATTAAAAATGGAAAGAAGTATTTAACAGACATTTTTATAATATTCTGTAACACTTTCATTTAACTAGACAATACACAATTCGGTCGGTTATGTGCTGACCACATCAGATTTTTTTTTCTTGTTTTAATAAATTAATGTTACTATGTAAGAAATTGGACAAAAATCGATTTGATTTTTCAAAACTTTTATAATAAGATTTTAGAAAGTAAAAAGTTTAGTCTAAGTTTTGGTTTCATCGAGTTTAGTAATAAAAGATTAAATAAAAGAATAAAATAAAATTCTTTTTTATTTGTTTCTTTTTCTAATACTTAAAAAAGTAACATACAAAACTTGTATGTAAAATTTTTAAAACTTTCTAACTAATTTTTGTTAAGCTTTTTTTTATGAATCGAATAATATTCAAAACTGCGGTTTGGCATAAAGAAACACATAATTATTAAATCATTTGGGTAACATACAGAAATAAATTTTTCAAATAAAGAAAAGGTTTAGGCATAAATAAAATAATATTTTTATTCAAATATATGTATGAACATTAATGAATTAGAATTGAACATTTTAAAATTTTTTGTTCAAAAAATTAGAAATAAAATTTTAAGCATAAACATATATAATTGTAATTGTATACCTATTTTTTTAAAACTGCGGGTGAACATATAGAAATAAATTTTTCAAATAAAGAAAAGCATTAGGCAAAAATAAAATAATAATTGTATTCAAATACATGTATGTATATATGAATGTAGTTTTTCAAATAAAAAAAAGGTTTAGGCAAAAACAAAATAATAATTTTATTCAAATATATGTATGTACATATGAATGTATTAAAATTTAGCATTTTACAGTTTTTCGCTTGGAACAATAAAAATCAAAGTCTAACTACATACGTACATACATATATTATATTCTGTATGCATATTTTTTCCAAGCTTGGTAACGAAACATAATATTGAAAACAACAACAAATGAAGCATTATTATTCAGATGCCACAAAACATCTGATGTCTTTGACAAAAGCTGTCATTTATTTACGTTAAAATTATTTCGATTTTCCGAACCAAAAATATGTGAGATCATTATAATTTTCAAATATTATTTATTTCTTGGTTTGTGTTTCTAATTATAAAAATTATAAAAGAAAAACGTGCTTTTGTTATACAAAACTTTTTTCAGAAAATCTTAAAATAGGGCTATTTCGGGGCTAAAAAGTTCCAATGTCAGATTATTCTGGGACCCTGGAGGCTAAACCCTATCTAATGCCATTTGTCCCATGTCTCTAGCCCTTCTAGAAGTACCCGTACTTTTTGGTACCTGAGAAGTAGCTATATATATAATAATAGATCTTTTATGGAATATACTTGTACCTTATTTTCTTTAGAAATTTGTTATAATTGATCTTTTTTGTAACATATTTTATGATAAATTATAAATTCGTACGAAAAACTATTTTCTAATGACGATAAAAAAGCGGTGTTGCATAATTCAGAATAAAAACTGGACATTTCAAAACAAACTGCGGATTTCAATTTATCAGAAATTTCAGGAGTCATTCCTTCTCCTCCAGTGAGCTGACTAGAAAATATGAGGGAAGATTTGATGGCTAAAGAAATTGGCAAATTTTTACGTGACGTGATATTGTTGCAATAACTTTTCAAAACTTTATATTTAGATTGATATCTGAAACACCAAACATAATCATCAGTTTGAAGTAAATTGTGAAACTATTTATAGTGATGAATTAGAATAAATTAACATTTTTTATTAAGCTCGTTGATTAAAACCAAAATATCTGGAGAAACCCTTTTAGTAGAATCAATTTCAAAAAAAAATTTTTGAATAAAAATCCAAACCGCTTTTGAAATTTCAGAGTACTTTAAATTTAAAACAAGAAAAACCCTAAAGCAAGTGTCAAGTGCGGATCAAATTTATACTTAATGTCGTCGTAGTATACTAAATATATGAGTTGTCACTTACATTAAAAATAATTACTGGCTGAAGGGATTGTCCCTGTTTTCTTAATTTAGCTGAGGGCTTATCAACTGCTGGACAGATATTGTTTGGCGTGGAAACCTTATTTAAAAGAAACTGTTGCGAATCCTTTATAATTGATTTCAAAATTTTTCCTTTTTTTACAATGTAATTCCGTGGCACTGGAGCAATGTCTAATTGATGGCGGCAATAGCGCATGCAACAGATCTAAAATTAAATGATCAACCGAACCTAAAATTTGTTGTACAAGATTTTATATTAGATGCTGATTATTTTATTTTTTAATTATGGAACAGTTGAATCTCGAATTTTTATACTGTAAACAGAAATTCCTTGGAATTTGTGAAATATGTGCTGTTTTCTAGTTTTCTTTTATATCTTAATATATGAATATTCTGGAATCAACTGGTATATATGATCATAATTATTATTTAATTATAATTATTACAAACTTACTGTCCGATATATCTGTCGAGTTCAATTTATTTAAAATGTGCAGAGACTCTCTGTCTTTAATTTTGTTCTTTAAAATTTCTTTTGTTTTGACTTTGAAAGTGTCTCATCTATTTATGAGGTGGTTTCCTTTTGAATGGTAAAGTTGTTTGAAGTCCAAATGAATAAGATTACATAGAGGATGCTTAAATAAAGGCCACTTTTCGACAA